TTGGAATTCTCCATGCTAAAACGCTTTAGCACTTTATCCAACTATGTACTTTGAATAAGTCCAATTAGTCTTTTACTCCTATTTCTCAAAATTATTATTCCCAAAATGTAAGCAGCATCTCCTAGATCCTTCATAGCGAAACACTTTCTAAGCCAAGACTTAACTTCCTACAAGGTTGGAACGTCATTTCCTATGAGCAGTATGTCATCAACATACAATACTAGAAAGCTAACTATACTCCCACTAGCTTTGACATATACACAGGAGTCATCCTCACTCCTAAAGAAACCAAATTATTTGACTTTCTCATCGAAGCAAATATTCCATCTGCAAAAAGCTTGCCTCAATCTATAGATTGATTTCTCAAGCTTACACACTCTATTAGGCTATGTATCATCTACAAAACCCTCTGGATGAATCATGTAAATATCTTCAGCCAACTTTCCATTAAGGAAAGTGGTTTTGACATCCATCTGCCATATTCATAATCATGAAACATAGTTATGGCTAGCATAAACCTAATAGATTTGATCTTGGCCACTTGTGAGAAGGTCTCATTATAGGCAACCCATGGGGTTTGAGTAAACCCCTTCATAATGAGTCATGCCTTGAACGTGTGCACTTTTCCATCCATGTAGGTCTTCTTCTTGAAGATCCATTTGCACCCAACTGTCTTACGACTTGGCACATTGTCAACCAAGTTCCAAACATGATTGTCATACATGGATCGGATCTTGTTGTCCATTGCCTCTTTCCATTTAGCAGACTCAGGGTCCACCATGGCTTCCTTGTAGCTAGAAGGCTCATCCAAATTTACCAGTGTACTGTTACTGATAAACGTATCACCATCTGTAGTAATATGGAAACCATAAAAATTTGGTGCCATTCTAACTCGAGTGGAATGCCTAAGAGGTAATGACTCGTCAATTGTTTCAACATAAATTTCTTCCTCGGGTTGAGTGCTAGTGTTAGAGGTTCCTTTACCGTTTAACTCTTGAATTTCTTCAAGATCAATTACACTCCCACTATCCTCTTTGCATATGAGTTCCCTCTTGCAGAAAACTCCCCCTTCGTTTTATGAAGACCATGTTCTCACTAGGTCTGTAGAACAAGTATCCAAAGGACTTCTGTGGGTAGCCGATAAAATAACACCGCTCACTTCGAGGTTCAAGCTTGTTGTGAGTCTCTCATCTAACAACAACTTCACAACCCCAAACCTTGATATGTGCCAACGAAGGAACATTACTTGTCCACATCTCGTGAGGTGTTCTAGCAACGTTCTTTGCCGGGACTAGATTAAGGATATGGGCGGCAGTCTCTAAGGCGTACCCCTAGAACGATATCAGAAGCGAAGCTCGACTCATCATGGAACGAACCATGTCCAACAAGGTTTGATTACGCCTCTCAGCCACACCATTAAGTTGTGGTGTCCTAGGAGGTGTCAGTTGTGAAACAATTCCACATTCCTTAAGATAGTCATGGAAATCGATACTAAGATACTCACCACCCCTATCGGATCTGAGCATCTTGATCTTCCTGCCCAATTGATTCTTGACTTCATGTTTAAACTCTTTAACCTTTTCAAAGGTTTCTGACTTATGCTTGATTAAGTAGATATATCCATATATGTTGTAATCATCGGTAAAAGTCACATAAAATCGATTTGCATCCCTTGTGGCGGATCTGAAGGGCCCACACACATCGGTGTGTATAAGATCCAACAATCCTTCACCTCTTTCACAAGTACCGGTGAATGGTGACTTAGTCATCTTTCCAAGCAAACAAGACTCACACGTATCATCTGACCTGAGGTCAAATGATTCCAACACTCCATCCTTTCGGACTTGGGCAATGCGCTTCTTGTTGACATGTCCAAGACAACAATGCCACCGACATGCTTTGTCTAAACCATCAGACGAATCAATATGCAATACACTATTTCCTAAATTGTCTATAACCATCACAGTTTCACATACATCATCACAAGGCAATGCTTCAAAATAAAATAAACCGTTATAATAAGCATTAATAGAACCAGTTTCATTATTAAATGAAAATCTAAAACTTGTCTCTACAAACCATTAAAAGAAATAATATTCCTCGTCATTTCTGACGAGTAGCAATAATTATTAAAGTCTAAACATAATTCACTACTAAGCTTTAAAGAATAAACTATGATCTTAGTAACAGGTGACGATCTCCTATTTCCCATAATCAAGTTCATCTTCCCAAGCTCCACATTCCTACTTTCTATTAGTCCCTGCAATTCATAGCAAATGTGAAAACCACATCCTGTATCAAGGACCCAAGAATTAGAATGCGATAATTTTTTTAGACAAAATAGTGTAAATACATGTCGATGTAGGCTTGATCTTGCCATCCTTAACGCCTTGCAAGTACTTAGGGAAACTTCTCTTCCAATGCCCCTTGTATTGACAGTAGAAACACGTTGCGTCTTTTGGATCCGAGGCAGGGGGAGCATTGGATTTTGCCTTGGGTCCACTAGTAGACCCTTCATGGGACTTTCCTTTATAGCTTTTCTTAGAGGGAGCTTTCCTCTTTTTCACTTTTCCTTGTCTAATAGTCAGGAATGGAGAAGTAGCAGTAGGAGGAGTGGATTCAATAGACTTTCCATTCAATCTACTTTCAGCAGTTCTCAACAAGCCTTGAAGTTTGCTCAATGTGACTTCCTCTTTGCCCAAATGATAAGTCATATTTTAACTGATCATAGCAAGGAGGTAAAAAGTGTAGGATAAATTCAATGGCTAACTCTTCATCAAAGTTCACATTTAACATGAGAATACGATCCACATATCTTTGCATTCGTTACATGTGGCTTGTGATGGATTCTTCATCCTTCATCTTAGTTGTGATGAGTGGCCTGACTATTTCGTACCTCTCTTGATGCGCTCTTTGATGGTACTTCTCCATCAAGTCCTAGCACACCTCGTAAAGCCAATAGTCCTTATAGAACCACTATAACTCGGAGTCATAGTGGCCACCATGATACACGACACCTTAATCGCGTCCTTGCAGTTGGCCTTGTACTCAGGTATCTCTTCGGGAGTAGATTTGGACTCATCGGTCTCGTTCAGCTCTTTGTCGAGGACATATTCCTTGTCCTCGAAACACAATGCCATTCGGATGTTTTGGATCCAATCATTGAAATTGGACCCATCGAATGTCACCTTTGCACATATGCTCAATAGCGAGAAAGAGTTGTTGGAAGATTTGTTGGAAGCGTTGTTTGAGGTAGACATCTGCAAAAGAAGAAGGACAAGTTTTTATTAGATAAGGAATCCTCAATATAACACCCAACATGAAATATTAAGGCTAGGACTCAAGACAATAATTCACAATTCGGAAGAGGGATGCCATAATCCAATTGTAAATTATTTATAGGTAGGTAAATGACGATTTACCAATTCCACCATGAAAATGAAATTTTAAAATGAATTAGGTTTAAAATGAAATGAAATTTCTAGATCTTAAAGATTTATTGAACTATTCAATGACATGTTTAATCTCGATTATGCCCGTCAAGTTTGTGACTGGGATATCGAGGATCACAAACAAGGTGTGAATAACCATACAAATTAGCTTGGTACTCTCGTTGTCATTTACCACCCAGTCAATGTGGCGGTTAACCACACACACTCTATTAATCAATGATAATTTATGAGCTACCCATTGCCACTCTTTGTTAGTCCAATTTAGTGTGCCGATTAACCACACACGCTCCACTAACGACTTGACAAAGTGCAATGTGTAGATTCATGGATTAGCATCTAGTTCACATTTTCCTAAAGTAACTAAGATTTGGGAATTTATAAAAACATTTAGTTACTTTATATTTATCATTATACTTATTGATTAGGAACTAATGTCCTATCCTACCTGTTGGGCTAACGACCCTCCACTAGTCAAGAGTGTTGTGGGTAAGAATGGATACCCAATGGCGGTCATCTCATAGGCCGCTTCCTTAAACACCCCTTATAGACCAGCTTCGTGAATGAGGCCTACCAATGGTAAGACTGACTCTTCTTATACATATATAATAATAAACTTTTAATGTTATAATAGTATAAGGGTGTATTTTAAACTTTTAAAATACTAGGGTTTTAGAATTTAACATTTCAAAATTAAATTTTTAATTAAGTTTAAATTCCAAAACTAAAGGGTGTAATTTGAAACTTTTCATAATTACTACATAAAATTTTAAATAATTAAATTAGGAAATAATTTTGTCATTATCTTAAAATTTGACCAAATCAATATTATTTGATAAGGAAATCATTCAGAAAATTTGATTTAAGGCATTAAGAACAAATTTTGGTAATTATCCTAATCCAAACAAGATTTGAAAATCGAAAAATAAGGCATTTGACAAGTCAACTCGTCGAGTCAGGCTATGAACTCGTCGTTCGACCCAACTTGTCAAGTTCCTCATTGAACTCGTCAAGTTGCGCAAACAGATTGCGAATCTGCTTTGCTTTTTGCTCTGGACAGATCATCAATGCATCCAATTCAATAGAAAACATCTTAGGCTCTAATACCACTGATGGGGTTTAAGCATAAGAACATTCATATGTGTTCATGCAACCATATTTGCTTTGGTTCTAAGTTTTTCACTAATTGAACATGCAAACAAAATTCCAAAGTTGTTCTTAATTGTTAATTGTTATGTGAGTTTAAAAAATAATTGTATTTAAGGTGTGTCGTGTTTTTCAAGTAAAGATGTTCGGAGATGAGAATAAAGAGATAACTAAAGTACATGAATGTTTATGCCCTAAGTTAAATGTTATGCAAAAATAAAAAGGGAAAAAGAAGAAAATAAAATCTTTTTGGAGTTTTATATATAAAAAAAATGAATGCAATTTAAGGTTAAAATGCTATGCAACATAATTAAAATGCATGGGAAATCAAAAAGAAAAGGGAATACCCCACCCCAAGCTTAGAAATAAGCATTGTCCTCAATGCTTGGGGCGAGACAAAAGTACCTAAACATGGGGATCTGGAGTAGGGTATGGGTATTGGGGGTAAGGTGGAGGTGGATAAGGGTGGATGGGTGGAGGGTACGGATAGGGAAGAGGAAGTGTGACGTTCTCAAAACGTTTTTGTAATTGGTGCCACTCCCACATATGGTGCATCTGCTGGGACATGATTTGGTTGGAGACACAAAGAGTCTTGAACCGTTCGGTAACATTAGGGGGAAGCGGATAGTATCTGGGAGGTGCTTGGGGCTGGGCTTGCTGTGGGCCATGAGTGGGCTCATCATTGGACTCCTCATCTGTATGCATCTCGACGCCATCTTGAACCTGGAGCGCATCTTCATTGACTGACTGAGTGATGGTTCTCGCGAGTCTCCACTGAGTGCGATCATGGGGGATTAAGTTGGAGACTCGAGGGTCGGGGAGAGCAAGATATCCACCCCCTTGAGGACAATACCATGTGAAATTGCTCCTGCTTCGACGAAAAATGTAGTGCATGTTTGTGAGAGCACGCTCATCCAAAAGAGTTTTATTGTCAACAGGTTGGTATTCGTCTGGAAGTTCGATGTCAAGACCGCAAGCTAAAAGGGTGACAAAACCACTGATGCAAATATCACCGGATGCTTTGGTTCTCATAAGTGCACATTTATAGAAAAAGAATGAAGCAAAGTCTGGGGTTGGTGGGTTTTCACGTCGTGTCATGCACCAAAGAAAAAAGAGCTCATTTTTGATGACCTGGCCAACTTCTTTACGGGAAAATACAGTGCACACCAAGATGCGATGGGCAATATGGAGGCACGGGTGAATGATGGGGGTTGCTTTATCCCAACCGGCGCATGAAAAGATACCCCCGGTGATTTCCATCCAAAAGGTCTCATTGTTGAACTCAGCAGGTAAGACGTCGAAAACTGTGGATGTGTTCGAAGAAAGCAAGCCCAAGATGTCGTTTATTGTTGTAAAATCAATGTACCTTTGGTCCCCTAGAAGTTGAAATGCGACTATTTTCTTTTCGTTATCTAACCCGCAATCGGCAATAAAATCTCTAGTATGGAGCTCGTAAGTGTGTGCCATGAGATTGAGAAGGTTTTCCCACATGATGTTACAGAACAATTTGGTGACCCCTTCAAGAACCCCTAATGAGATATGTGTGGATTTGCACACAAATTTGGTGGATGCAACCTTTCTAGGCAGGCTTTTCATGTAATTTTCGGCCGCCTTGGCATCCCGAAATCTTGGAATGTCGGGTGCATCATTTTGATTTCTAGCTGGGGCTTTGCCTCGGGTGGCAACCGAGCACTTTATAGATGTGGACATGGTCTACCTGCAAGAAAAAATATAACAACAACACGAACCACAGTCCCAACAAACGATATTTCAATTTCAATCATTAATCGACTTCCTATGGACTCCTAAACGATTCAACGCTCAATGCAAGAAACATTATCAAGACTCAAATGATGCGATGCCATATAAATTGTTGTTCTGAAACTAGCATCTTGGTCAATTAAAGTCAAGAAAAAAAATGTACACGTAAGATTTTTGCGTGCGAAAATTCGGGATTTGAAAATCTTGCAACTCTCCACCCCAACCTTTAAGCTTTGTTCAATATCCCGTGAGAAAAACTTTACCGCGAAAACTTGAGAAACCCGGCAAAATTTTCCGACGAGCTTTGAGAGATATTTTTAGTGGAGTTTGTAGTTTTGACCAACAGGAGCAATATGGTGGTGTCGGAATCGCGAGAGGTGACCGGAGTTGACCGGAAAATAGTCGAAAAGTGATGAGATGGTGGTGGTGGCGCCCGGAATTGCAGCAACGGATCAGACCAGATTTTGGTTGGGGTTTGTATAGCTCGAAAATTGGTGAAGAATGGCGGTGGTCTCACGAAATTCCGACTGGCGGATTGACGGGAAATTGAGTTTTAGTGGTGGAGATGGAGGTGTTTTAATGAAGGCCAACAAAATTTGGTGGTTGTCGAGGCCAACAAAATTAATAACCCTAAATCTTTTACACTAAAATAATGTATATTGGTAAAGGGATCGTATCTATGGAGATTGGTCCAATTAAATCTCTATGTAAATCTTGTTGTACAAACATTTGTAAAACTGGAATAAAATAAAAATGGGGGTGTTTTTATCTTTTGAGTTGTTTAAAAGAAAACTAGAATTAAGCTAGGATTTAAAAACACAAATCAACAAAAGCAAAGTTTGATATAAAATCAATGAGAGACAGATGCTTGACATTGGACCTTCATTACTAGAACATTTGGTTAAATAATCATGAGAATACAAAGGTGCAATACTTGTGTTTAAAATCTAACTTGGTTATAGCAATTTATAAGCATAACTTGCCTCAACTCTTCTTTTGTATTAAAATTACTAGAGACGCTCATAGCACATTTCCTAAATCAAAGTCACAAAACTAATGACACATGTAATTTTGTGAAAATCAATTAACATTAGGTTTTAAGAGTCACCAAATCCAAAGAGTAATTTATTGGTTTCATTACCACTATGGAGAAAATATTTTCTTAGTCTAAATGAAATGAAAACAAACATTTAAATTAATTGTTGCTTGTTAAATTGAAGACCCATTACTTAGCTAAGAATTTTACTAACAAAAATAACATTCACATATCAATATTCATGACTACATATATATAAACATGAAGGAAGTTTTCATAGAAAATATAATCATAGATATTCAACACAAGTTCATGGAGCTCTTCAAAATAACAAAAACATTCAAGCAATTACATCCAAGTCAACCAAATATAAGTCTAGCCAAGCATGGCCAAAATGATAGAAATGCAAAGTAGATTAGTGATACCAAACATTGTTCAAGATGCAAGTTAGAAGGAAATTACACTAGTCTTCAAAAAATTCTTCAAGTCTTCCCAAAACCTTCTTGAGAGAAAAGTGTTTGTTCCCCCAAAATTAGATGAGAATAACACCTCGAATCTCCAACAAAAGGGTCTCATTTCCGGATTCAAAAAGGTGCTAAAGCCACCCACCAACCTTCCACAAATAGAGTCAACAAGTCAAACCCGGATTTAATTCTTCATTCTTCACGCGGACCACATGTGTATCTATGCAGACCGTGTGGGTCATGTTGCAATCATCCCTTGGCCCATTTGTAAGTACCATCCAGCCTAATATTCTAATTTATGCTCCAGCCCATTTGTGCAAATTCTTGATAGCCCAAGTGTGGAAATCCAAAGCCCTTCCAAGATGCTCCAATGCTCATTTAATCTTCTATAGCTCGAATTTCGTCGTCCCACCCGAAATTGAAGTCTAACGCGCTATCTTGATTATGTTGACACCAAGCCCATTTGCACCACTTCAAGTCTATAAATGAATTGCAAGCCTCCAACAGTCCGCATTCGTTCCATGCCTCCAATAATAAAAAGTCTTCGAAAAATCCTACAAATAAGTTCAAAAGACTGGAAAGCACCCGGTAAAGGAGAAAAATAATAAATGTCCCCATGAATTCTTATCAACGGTGTTTCATAAGGTTGATAGGTGTCATACCAAATTTTTGCAATGCAACATCATTTTTTGCCTCAACCCACAAAACTCATGATTGTTATACCATACATTATCATACCCATCACAATACACATTTTTATGCATGAAGTACAAAAGCTGAAGAAGTGCATTTTTTTCCCATGCGGTAAATTTGTAACACATTATATACATACCGTAATTGTGTTTGGGGTCGGTGAGGTGTTTACCGCACTATATCTCGGTATGCAGTAAAGTGCATCCTATCTAAATCATATATTCGGTGAAATTGTGTTTATCCTCCTTAATAAATGAATGTTTTTTTTTGCCACGTGTCAATCTTTTATAAGTTTTGACACTTGTCATTTTATGGTATTTTTGAACTAAATATTATCCACTTGTCAATTTTTGATTTGTTTCAATTTTTAAAATTAAAATCATATATTTATATATGTAAAGTATTAAATATCATATATATATATATATATATATATATATATATATATATATTACATTGCAATAAATACATTTTTCCTTTCTTATTTTAAAGTTGTACATTAAAAAATATTTTATGTTTACATTTTAATTTAATGTTTATTTTTTTTAAATCAACCCGTATAATATACGGGTCCCACACCTAGTTTTGTCCATATAAGAAAAATTATATTATATTTCGATACAACGTAGTCGTTGTAGTCAAAAACCCTTATTTTATAGCGTTCCTTAGCAAATATTAAATCAATTTAAAAAGAAATAATCATCGCATTATTTATTAATCAAGATTATTAAACTATTTTTTTTATAGTAATATTTCATTCAAATCAACTAATTTTAATAATTTATCTCAATCAACTAGCATTGGCAGTACTTCTTTCCCACCTCCAAACTCCAAACGACAAACTCCTGCAAACGTGGCAACAAGTTTAGATGACACATCAGATACTACCCCGCAATTAATGTGCTAACTCGCGGCAGGCGCGTGAGTTACAAAGTACAGTTGGAGCAATAAAAGTCGCTAACTTGCTTTTATGTAGGAAAAAGCCTGAGTTGTATAGCTTGACCCGCAACGCGAGTGGGGGAGTAATTAAAGGAAATAGCTGGGCCCCATTGACACGTCATATTAGCTGCAACGGTACATACATAGAACGTGACAATAAGGCTAAACGCGCGAGATAGAGAGAGAGAGAAAAAGAGATATAATTATTGTTTTTGTTTGATACTTCTGTTATTATATTATATATTTAATATTTAAATAAGGCCCTCCACGCCCTACCAAAACCCATTATTGAATCTCCACCGTTGATTGTTTTGCTTTTCAGCCATCGGGACATTTACAGCCGTCGATCACTCTGACAGGAGCCCACAAGATAATTTATGACAGTGAATAATAATAATATTTTAATCAATAATGAATGGTGGAAAACCGGAACAAGTAATGTAATTTTGACCGGCTAAAATGGTATTTTTGTGCGGTCACATAGATTCTTTGCGATCGGCATCTGCTGCTTTTTACCAAAGGTTTCCTTTTCCTTACTATAGCCGGTAAATGCAACTCAACTGACGTGGCTTTTTAATTGTTTGGGTAAATTAAATGTGTTGACTAGTTTATTCAATAAAATCATATATTTTTATCCGTTTATAGAATTACATTTCGATTCATTGTATGTTTATCACATTATCTAACAGCCGTTTTTTTTTTAGTAATTTATTTATTTAAAAGTTAATAAAAATCTATACTAAACTAAAACATAAGCTGAAAACTTTTGTTATACATATTAACAAAATATCCAGTTTTGTTATAAAAATAAATCTTTGATATTATATACGTACATATACATATGTGGTCCATGGGATGTTGATGGGTGAACATAGAAACCTTTCATTTTATATTACTATTTGTATCGATATATAATTCATTTTATAATGTTATATTTTCTTTCTTTAACTATATACAATTTTTTTCTTTGTTTAGTTTCAGACTAGGTCAAAAAAATTAGCTAATATTTATCTTGTCGCAAGAATTTTGAATTGGTTATTATATAATATAATAGTTTATATTATTAGCACGATTTTTATTTCATATATAACTTTAGTAACAAAGTAAGTAGATTATGAAACAAGTTTTTTTAGAACATATATATCTCTAAAGAAATAAATTCATATAACCAATATGAATTAAAGATGAAATACGAATTAAATAAAAAAAAGTTTTATATCTTTTTCAAAATGAAATTTGTTGCTCTCTAGTTTTGTTTGGAGAAGAAGTTATGGTAATTAAAAGATAATAAATATAAAAACCTTAATAAAAAAACAGTAGGCCCTATGTTTTTTAATAGAGATATCAATATTAATATATTAATATCCTTTACAATTTAGTAAAGAAATCATGGAAGCTTGTCGAGTAAGCAAAGACTGACACGTGTAGGTAACATATCGGACGGATATTATAGTGCCATGTAGGATGCAAAGTGAAGGTGAGCCGTCAGATCATCAAGTGGGAACGGAGGGTCGAGATGAAGGTATATGTGGAAAAAGGATGGATCTGAGCCATCGGTGGCGGTTCGGAGTAGGCTTCGTGGAGAGTGAAATACCGAAAAGATGATGAGATAGAGAGAGAGTGTGTGTGAGAAAAAGAAGGGAGAGAGAGAGAGAAAGTGAAGAAGATAGATAGAGAGAGAGAGAGAAAAAAGAGAGGGCAGAAGAGCAGAAAGAGATCTGAGAGTGAATCATATAATCAATCTCTCTGAAAGTTAAAAATATCAATTTTTTGATTTGAATCATCGGTTTAGGGTATCCGCCGGTGTAGGCGACTTT